TGAAAATTATAAATATTCTAGGTTAACACATATATCCATTGGTAGTATTTCGTCTTTCGATTTAAAATAGCCACGTTTACTTAATATCTCTGTCCGATAAATAAGATATCTTGAACCGTTTTCGCGAATCGATAAAGCACAGAATATTATTTTATACATCGAATCGAAAATTGGTTATTACGATAGAAAATTAGAGACACATATACATATTTATGCGCGCATGCGCAAGCGTATATATATATATACACACACGTATACGCGTGCGCGCAGAAAATCTGCAGAAAGAAATTATATTTTCTTTCTTTTAATCACATCGCATGTAGGATTTCCAACTATTTTGAATCCTTCATCTTGAGACGATCGGATTATTCCATAAGACGGTTTACATTTTGCACATGCAGTCACTGCAAGGGATAACGTTTCAGCGATGTAATACTATCCTAAATACGCTTTCGTACGCTCACATAATCCCAAGATATCCAGATCTTTGAGTAGGAAGAATGTTACATTGCCGGAGAAACAAAGCTTCCGTTGCAAGTAATATAGTACGCTTAAATTCAAGGAAATTATTTATAAACTATTAATAAACTTATTTTCGATTTATGTTTTATTCTTCGATGACTCGAAAAAAAACTGATGATTTTTGTAATCTACATCTTTTTGATGTAGTGCAATATATAATATCAATATTCCTACAAATGTTTAGGATGAGATTATCCTCTTCTAATTCTTCTAAAAATAAATTTTTCCGACATATAATATTTAATTTTTGAAAAACTGAATAACGAAGTTGTGTTTATTATTGTGATAATGTACTTTTTTTATTCACTTTTTTATAATGTACTTTTATTAATCAAAATCTCTTTTTTTTTTTTTTTTACATACACGCAAATAAATCGAGTTAATCACAGTTTTAAGTCAATTAACGATATTATCTCTTTTAGATCGTAATATTATCTATATATATATAAAATCTGAAAGAAATCTTTAATCAATTACTTATTTATCACTTATTTATCACTAATCAACCATATTAGTAAACTTTCATGTTTTCTACTTTTCTAATACAATGGACGTTATTAAAATTTAATTGTTATAACTTATATGATTATAATTGTATAAGCAATCTGATACATACAATTAATTTTAAAAGTTAGTTCGTATACATACTTCGATGTTACATTTTCTTTTAGATATCACATTGATGCATTTTATCATCTCATTAATGAGTCACGTAAAGCAAACAAAATTATATCGCAAATGTTAAAAGCTTTATTCAAAGTACCAAAGAGCTTCTCAGGATGCCGTACGTTCTTTTCATTTTTTTTTTTTTTTTTCATTTGATTAATCTCGCTTGCAAAATGTTCCATGTTTCCCGCACTTTGTTCCTTAGGCCTTTGCATTTCTGTCCCGTGTGGCTTTCAGAATTAGATTTTTTTCTTTTTTTGAAATAAAATTGAATTAAAGTTTCCATCAACCTACAAGAAATTTTATCTCTCCTTTTTTGATCCTTCTAATTTTTCATCAGTCTTACGATTAGTCTTTATAAGAACAGCATCGCTGTTTTAAGAGAAGTGCTCCACTTAATTTTTTATCATATCTGATTTTCTTCATGTAAGACCTTTCATCCACGGGGATAAATTGCTATCTAATTGCGTCGTCTTACACAATGTATATTTTATTATTATTATTAGAGAATTTTTCAGAAATTTTTTTAATAAAAGAAATCAAACGATCGATTAGTATATTTTTATCGTTATATTTTATGAAGAGAGGGAGAAAAAAAAGAAAATAGATGTTGCATATCGGAATTAATTCTGATTGTCAATCTCTATGTAAGAAAAAAATTGTAGAGTATATGCATATTATGGAAATATCCAATATAATACATATGTTTATTAAAAAATATATACATATACATATTTATTAAAAAGAAAGAAAGAGTAGGATAAGTAAAAGAGTAAGCAATGCAAATAAAAATACAATTTTTAAGATAATTTTAAATTTTATATAAAATATTATAAATAAAATAAAATATATAATTTGAAGTTCTATATATAAAGTATATATTATAAATTGCAATATAATTTGTAGTAACAAAAATAAATGATTTTATTCCTTGATCGATGCTACTTCAAGAGATTAGATATAGTTTAATTTCGTTCTGAAAAACGGACCTAATCCAAATTGAGAACATAGAAAAGAGAAACCGGGAACAACACTAGAGTATTCACTTTGTTACTTGCAGTTAGCGGAAAATAGGTGGCATGGATGGAAACGCTTTACGACCCGCGGAAACTTCGTAATAGTACCGTACCGTTACGACCTCCCGACCCTCCGTTTCAATAAACTAATTGAACCTAAAACTTCTCAAAGCCGCGTAAAGCCCTAGTCGAACAATATTCATCCGCCGTCATAAAATACCACATTACAAAGTTAATGCTAAAACGGCTATGTGACATTTATTAGAAAACGATTATGAGTGAGAATTTTAAATAACGTCCACGTTTTTTTAAAGAGAACAATGACATTCAGAAAAGTTGGAGAGAAACGAACGCACTGCGTTATTAATTTCATATTTTATATGTGTCAAGCTGAAGGCTAATTTAAACAGCATCCAAAAATACCTTTCGTCATTTGTTAATCTAAAAAAAAATTGTAATTGTTAAAATTTTTAATTAACGACAATATGGAAGTGTAGTCAAGTTTTGAAATACTGAAAGAATGCACATGCGCGCGCGTGAGGTTAACTTAATTTTTTTTTATCGAAAATATTATGCAATACTTTTTCAGTAAAGCAGTTCTAACGAAAAATGTTGAAATGAAAACTTATTTTGTATTAAATACAAGTTTCGAGAATGAGTGCCGGAGAATGAGTTGCGGTGATCAAATTACTTTTAATCAGTTAAACCTCAGTTAGAGAGAGAGAGAGAGAGAGAGAGAGAGAGAGAAATTTAGGATGGTACGCGTATGCGGTTAGAGTAAATTTTCACACTTTCGCATTAACTCATGTATCCCGACCGACTGTTGGCGTTGAAAGTTTCTATACCACCCGTGAGTTGAGATGAGAACGTTATCTCGTCGATGTTGCATTAACGGAAGTTAAGCTTGAGCCATTTGAGAATTCTCTGTGGATCATACAAGTTTATCGCTTATTCAATTACTTTTTTCAAAACGCAGTAGAAATGATAAGCGAAAATTATTACATGTAAATTATTCTCTGGATCTGCAATACGCAACACGTATGAGTAAAAAACTATATGGGGAAAAACTTTATAGTAATAATCAATCATCGCTCGCTCGTTTCAAATGCAGATCCAATTTAATTATATTTAATTGTATAATCGAAACCGGTTATTGACAAGATTACCGTATCGTACCGTTGGTATCTATTTTCTTCATACATCTATTATGTACAAAGTGCAAATTTAGATGCGCGTTTCCGAAATGATATTGCCGATTTATCGAGATAATCAGATGCGAGCCAAGAACTTGACGATCGTTCATGGCGGAAATATTACCTCGTCAATGTCGCATTAAGACACGCGATAAGTTTAAGTTGGAATCCAATTTGAACACCCGACAGGCTTGTTAAAGCTTAAACCTCCCGGTTGTGAGTGCAACTTTGATGCGATGCGCAGATTTAGCATTTCGCCAACTTTGAAACGAGCTAACTCAAAAGCGCGTCCCGCGGCGGGGGCGGTTCGATAGCAGACTTCTACATTCCAAGCAGATTCTACATTCCGCGCACGTATCAATTCGTGAAAGTCCTGACAACATTATGCACGAAATTGCACGATGGAAAAAAGCTGAAAAAAGTTCGGGAATTATACATCGCCACCTTCTAACCTCCTGCACATCTAAATATGTAAATATCACGATCGTCATCGTGATTAACTTATATTATAATTATACGCGCGGATGAAGAGACGTAAAATTTTTTCAAAACTACCTACCTTCCATTAAGAGACAGATCTTTACGTTGAAATTTGTAAGGCAAAAATGATAAAAAATTAAAAAAAAGAAAGAAAGGAATTTTAAAGTATTACTTAAAATCTTATCTTTATTCGCTAAATTTGTATTATTCGTAGGTTTATCGCTGTTATATAACTAGATTCACCGCGAAGATAGTAGGGTAAATTTGCAGCGTCGCGTTATCGTATTACTGTATATACCCAAGCAAACCCGTATACTGTTTCAGGCTTTGGTGTATCGAGACGGCAATCTCGTCTCAGGCTCACTCGAGGCGTTGGTACAGCACATGGTGCCTACGGAGGAATATTATCCCGATCGAGCGTATCTCTTTGCCTTTTTGCTGAGCGCGAGACTCTTCATCAAGCCGCACGAGCTTTTGGGTGAGGTTTGCGCTCTCTGCGAGCATCAGCAGAATCTGAATGGAGAGGGCGGTAAGGTGAGCATCGGTATACTTCCATTCCGCGAAATGACACGGAGCCCTTCGCCGACGTCCACGGAGACCGCGCGTTTCATCCATAGAATTATGCACCCGTACTCTTTCTTCGATCTAGTTCTTTCACCGCGAAGATATAAAGA